AGTAATTTTTTGATATATTTTTTTTATATATTGTTTCGGAAAATTACTCCATATTTTATTGTCGAGTGCATACCAAAATATATTTGCAGCCACCATTGCTTCACACAATTCGTAATAAAATAAATTTATCTTCAGAATTAGTATTTAAATAATTGTATCAACTGCGATTTCCGTTGACATAAAATCTTGAAAATAAAATTTATTTACATAATATTAGATTGTGCATAATATTTAAATTCAGTAACAAAATTATATATACACAATATAATATATATATATATACTTCTTTTTTGTATGAGTTACAACTGTTTCTCCATCAAAAATAAAACATTTTTCATCTATCAATTTAATCCAATCATCAATTAAAGCACATCTTTTTTTCTTATTTTTTCCCATTTTATTTATAATTATTTTTTATAATATATAATATTTTATAATATTTATAATATTTTTCTTTTTATAATATTTTTCTCACCGCGATTACTTTTTTCAATACTTCATGAGCTAACAGCTAACAACATAATAACTTCTGTTTAGAAAGTCTCTGAACATTTCCATATTTCGATGTAATAAATATTTAATAATGTATATATGTAACAAATATATGTAATAAATATTTACATTTTATACATCAGCTTTTAACTTTAACGTTTTACGTTTAAATTAAAAATTTTTTAAAATTCTAATTATACTACAAATGTTTCTACAGCAGGTCAAATATTAAATATACTAGTAATAAAAGAACACCGTTTTTTAATATGAAATACATAAAATTACTTAAAATATATATAATACATAAACATATGCAAAAAAAATATAAATGCATAAAATATATGCATAAAAATATAAAGCAATATATGCATAAAAATATATGCATAAAATATGCAAATATATACAAAATATGTAAATTTGCAAATATGCATAATATGCACAAATAAATATACATTTTTAAGATGCTTTTTCAATAAGACAAATTTCTATTTTGATCTTACTTTCCAATCTACTTACTAAAAAAAAAAAAAAAAAAATACAACTGCGTAAGAATCCGATGTTTAATAATGATACTGAAGTGTTAGCGTAAATCACATTACAAAGGAAAATGCACCGTTTTCCTAAATGTATCAATTCGTAACGAAACGTATAATGTTTAGGAAAAAGACATATAACGATTGATATAATTATTTCTGTAATAATTAAATTTGTTTACGTGCATACTTTTAGTTATGTTAAATAAAACAAATATAAAATATGAGAACAAAAGGAATAAAACGATTAAAAATTTATATTTATTATATTTTATATTAACTTGTGATTTTGTAAGTATTATTTGTTTAATGGATAGAAATAAAATAGAATTTGCAAAATGATTCCGTAATGTACGATAAGAAAATTAATAATAAAACTAATAAAGAATCACATTTTTACAAACAAAATTTTATCGTAGATTCTTAATAATAACTTTCACTTTTTAATCAATTGTAAGTTCATTATCTTCTAAGTTCGTGTTAAGTTGATAAAATAGTAATACTTTGATAATGCATGCATCCTTTTAATTTTTCATAGATTGTACATTGTATTCCTTCGATCAAGATCGAAACCATTTTCAGTCTCATAACAAGAGAGAGTATGGGGATTTATTTTTCATCATTTAAATATTTTAAATTGATAAGATAACTTTTCTATTCTTTTTACTTCCAATATCTGAAACATATTTCGCTTTTATATCGTTATCCTTTTTTGTTTTTCTCACAAAATAGTTTATAAGAAATTTTAAAATCCTAAAAGACAACAGCTTATTCGATAAAGTAGTAAAATACAATAATAAATCTAAAAACGATATTTCATCAAGCCATTCAAAATGTCATGTATACATGAATCAATGTCCGAACAATTTCTAAAATCGGAATAGATATGTTTCTGTATTATCAGTATTTTTCATTTCTTTTAAAATATTTTTCAAAGTTGAAAATATCATTTTTTCTTTAAAACAGAATTATATTTTTGTAAAAAATTATATTTTATTAGATTGATATATAATCATTGTCATGCATAAAACTTTAAATATCATTATATAACAATTTTATATTAATGTAATATAATTACATGTTTAATGTAATATTTCCTAGATTTATATATTTTTAATTTAATAACATTAGCAACTAATTGTTAATGATTAATTAATTAATTATATGGTCAATCATAGCATAAGTTTACAAACACTCACAGTCAACAAATCGATCAATAAATAAATAAATAGATATCAAAATAATAAATGTTAATAAAATGATTATTTTAATGATTGCAATATCAATTAATTGATAATTTAATTATATATTGCATTACAAATACGTGGAATTAATTTCTACGTTTAATTTTTGAAATGTATTGTTATGATCAAATAAGCAACATTCCGAGATTTAGCCGCAAGGTGACATGAGATAATGAGAAACGCTAATGCAACATACGATGAATGAACATATGCTGATGACACATTTCCTTTTGTAATTCAACATGATCTAATACACTTTATGCTTGCATATGCATAATATTAACAAAATTTAAAAAATGAAAAAATATATAACAATTTTGTTCTTTCATCAAAATTTAAAATTAATTTTGTAAACGTATATCAAATGTTCATGTATTAAATAATATTTAATTTATTATTATATTAAAACAAATTTTTTTTCAAAATAGAATTTATATACAATTATTTGTATATTTATTAATTAGTCTTGCAATTAAATTTAAACAAATTTTAATTTAACAAAATTTATAGTTTAAAAAGGTAAAAAATATTTCATTATTCTGCTCTTTTAATTTTAATTTAATGATATATTTTTTTGAAAATTTAATATCAATTTCTTTATATGCTCTTTTGTTAGCAAAATGCTGAATTTTATAATTAAGCGATTAATTTAAAATTCTAATGTAATATTTTTTTTATTTAAAGGATCATTTCGTTAATTAAAGCTTAATTAAAAAAATAATTCAATTGAATTGATATAATTTAACAATTATTGATGTCTATTGATTAAAAAGATTTCATATTATTTATTTCATATTATTTATTTTGTTTAATTTTTTATTTTCTGAGATATACAATTTTATATGCTGTTTTCATAATTATATGTTATCACGGAAATGAGGCGCCATCGTAACTGCAATCATTGCACTTCCGCCATCGCAATGTAATCACATTCATGATGCACTAGAGCGACCTTCATGCTTTAAAATTTATAACAGCATTAATTGTCCTTAAATTTTATAAAGAAATTTCATATTGAATTTAAAAATTTCAGAATCCAAAACAAAATTAAAAATAGTTAAAATATTTAACAATTAAAAAAATATTTGTTAAAAAAGAGATATAAAATTTTGATATAAAATGAACAAACGTGTTTTTTCATTTTTGATTTATTTTTTGTTTTAAATATATCTCCAAAAATATCATTGAACTAATGAAGTAAGAATCATTTCTAATAATATGGGAGATTCAACAATCTTTATACGTATTCTCTATCACACGATTATAACGAAACATGATTCCACCGTTCTATGAAGATGTCATGGAACATCGCGCACCTGTACGAACAACATTCCCCATTATGTGTGTGTATATACGCAAATAGATACGTGCACACGTCGCGATTACGTTCGTTCCGACTGTCATCGGTATAATTACGTTTGCAAACGGCAAACGCACTCGTGCATGCGTCGCCGTCTCGTATCCCGCAACACCTAAAGCCACATTCACATCGAAAAAGAGATTACAGAAAAATTATAAAAAATTATAAAGATCATATAAATGAATAAAAATAAGATAAAATTTAGAAATAAATCTTTAAAATAAATCTTATTTATTTTCTATAAAAAACATTTTATTATAAATTTATGAAAAACTTGCTTTTATCACATAAAAATAATTATGTTAACAAAAGATATTCTAAAAAAAAGTGAAAATTTTAAATTTATTAAAAATTTATTAAAAATTTAGCAAATAATTAAGTTAATTAAATAATTTAATTAATTAAATAATTTAAACATTAGAAATTTGCAACAAAGAGATATTTAATAAAATAAATTATTGCTGTAAAGATATTTAATAAAATAAATTATTGTTTTAAAATCCTAAATTAACAAAATAACAAATTAAAGAGGATGTTTAAAAAACATAAACATATGAAAATGAAATATATGTGCATTATAAAAATTTAATTCATTGCTCACAAAATATAATTTTTTCTTTTCTGTTATTGTCGATATTTTTTTATAATATAATGTTGTATTATGAATTAATTGTTAAAGATATTTGCTGTTAATTTCATTACTTACTTTAATGTTACTTTTTTAGTTCTCCGATCGTTGGATTATATTCCCTGTCCTCTCCGCTATTTTTTACTACTCCTTCGTCAACGTTTATTGCATATCCGCTCACTACCAAGTCTACCAAATCCGTGAAATCATCATGCTTTCTCATTGTCGAAGATGGCGTCATTTCACTTTTCCCAGATTTTTTAATAGTAGGCGTTACATCGCTATTGACTTGTTCGCGACTGCTATTACCTCGTTGAAGGAACTTCCGACGGAAGTTATTGTAAACGGTATCGGCATCCGGCGAATCGCCGACTCGAACTCGAGCATGGCTAGGAGTCAAATGATGGCCACTGTAGCCTAAATCCATCTGCAAATCTATCACCAGCAGCAACGTAAATATGATGGCAAACGCGCTCAAACACAGCACCAACTTGTCACGAATACGGATAAGTCTAACGTTTAGTCTCATTTTGGAATTTTTATGAGATCTCGTACTTGTTAATCGATTTCTCCTCTCACTTTTTAATAAATTTCTTTGAATTAATGGCAATTGTGAAATTCAATTGATCTGTAAGAAGAGAAGACTTTTGGATCAGGTGTTAATTTTCCAAAGCTTCAAGATTATTGAATTTTCAATATAAACAAATTTTTGGTATATAGATCGATAGATAAATTCTTCAAAATTTTTTCAGGATTTTTTATCTTTGTAATTAAATCATTTATTTTATCTAATAGATCTTTCTTCGCATTCTCTTTCTTAAGGATTCTTTTAGAATATATTATTAATATAGCAATCTACAAAATGGTAGATTTACAAAATTATAGAAATAATGCTTCATAAGTCCAAAATATTTTTGCGAATCTCTTTGAATTAATTAATGAAATGGAATTATCAATTATTTCGAAAGTAAATAAGCTATTAATTTCTACTTCGGTAATTATTTCCAATTATTTTTCTGTATAATTTCATATAATAATTGATTCTTTTAATATTTCTTTTAGGTTTCTGCACTTTGACGATTCAACATTTCAAGTTTTCATTAAAACTTTTTATTTTAATTATTTCAATTAAATTCTTGAAGTTCTTAGAATCTTTTTCAAAATTCAAATATTTTGACACACTTTCAATGGACTCCGTTACGAAGTTAATTTGTGAATTTCCTTTATAGATATCTAGCTATTCGCAACAAGACAGAATCTTGAAGATCTTTATATGCTCTTCGGGTGGTTTTGCGATCAACTGACGTTCCGCAAAGCGATTTGAAACCGTAAGTTTACATTTCACGACAGAATATTTATCAGCTGACCCGTTGTTATCGAATCTTGTTGACCCTTGACCAGGCGAATCCTTCTCTGACGGCGCTTTGCTTTGTAGATACTATTGCTTCCTTTTCGTGCCTTCTTTTAAGATCTTTGAAGAGCTTGCTGAGTATCTTTTAGAAGACAATATTTGTAAACAATCGATGATTGAGATTAAAAAAGATTTATTAAATCGTTTTTGATTTGTTTACATTTTTAAAAAAGTGTGGATACTACTTGATCATCAATGTTAGTTAAACACAAATAATTTTTCAATACAAATTAATAGGACTCCCCAAATTAAAAAAAGAAACAAATTTAAATGGAGCTAAGAGAGTCAGATATGAAACTGAGTGCAAAATAAATCTTTATAATTTTTATTTAATATACATACGTACGTTTTGGATCTACTTTGAGTCATCTTTAACAAGATATACATTCATCAGATACAATCCCACATTCTCCACACTAAACGTGTAATTAAATATAGACCTTAACCAAAAATAAGTGTCAATCGGTCGGTAAACCAAGTAATAAGAAACAAAAAGATCTACCAAGTTCTTATTAACCTAATTCTTTTTAATAAAAAAATTCTAAATAATTTTTTTGTTAATTATGATAATGTTTTTTTTCTTTAAAAAATCTCCTTCAATAAGAGAACAAACTTTTTCGTCAGAAAAAACCATTCCGGATAATTTTTTTGTATATTATAATGATATATCATTTCAGAAATATCTTTTTTTCTTCAGATAAAAAAATGTACTGTGTAACTGAAGAAGTGACTTCTTTAGAGAGAAAATAAAGGTTCTTTGCCAATAAAGAATTTTCTTAAATATTTTTTTTATAAATTATGATTGAGAAACTACAAAAATGTTTCCTTTTTTCTCAATTAAAATAATAAAATAATAAGATTTCTTACCAATATAGATTCATTTAAATAATCCTTTCTGTTAAATGTAATTGTTTTATTAAGAATGTCTTTTTCTTGTGATAACAAGAAACTTCTGATTGTCAATTGTGAAACTTTCTCAAAATCTTTTTCTACTAAATATAAGATCTTTTTTGATCAATTACATTAATAGATCATTTAAACTTTATCGTTAATAGCAAATTATTATTTTTGTTCATCAAATGTGTGTATCTTTCTTTAGAATTACTTGTCAGTAATAGATATCGAAATGGATATTAAACAAACTTCTTCAAGAAAAATTTAATTTCTCCAATATTTTTTGTTGTCAATGAAAGATGTCAATTATATTCTTCTCAATATTCATTTTTAATAATAATAAATCCTTTTCAATATTTTCTTGTGTCAAATATTTTTCAAAATCCGTCTTCGCTAACAATATTCTTCAGCATTCTGTTTTGGCCACGGAAGACTATTATTAGCATTTTTATTGGTCCCGTCTGTCTTCAATAAAGAACTATTATGACTTTTCATTAATGTTACAATATTAAATCCTCTTGATTATGTGTTTTGACTAATAATATTTCCTTAATGAATTATCTCAACTCTCTCTTTAACAATCATAAATATTCCCATATGTTTCCCACTAATATTGGATTTTGGCGATTGCTTTCCTTTAAATATTCTTCTTTAAATTTCTTAATATCTTCTTAGATTTCTTAATATCTTCTTTTAAAAACTTTTTCTTATATCTTTTTTCGTATTCAACATTAAATTCTGCTTACCGTTCAATAATGCTTTTCTAAAATATTCTTTCTCAATAACAAAGAATCTTTCTGAATGTTTTTCTTATTTCTGTAAACTATAATTTCGATGAGCATTTTTCTACAGCAACAATTGTTCTTCCTGACAGTCTTCAATAATTTATTGCATCTATCGATATTTTCTCTTAATACCATTTTCAGGAAATTCTTCCAAATTTTGCAACATGATCTGTTGTGAGTTAATTATCATTTACATTTGATAGCTTTTAATTTCAATTTCGATTTAAATCTTTCGTCCGACTTTCCGTAATCGTATGCGCTATCTATGTAGGAGGTCGACAAATGCTATCGTATTGCTGCAGTCTACTTTCGAAACATCTCCCTCAAAAGAAAGATCCCTATAATAATTCGGCGACGAGGATTTTGCACACACAGATTCTGGAACGGATCACTCGAGGCACTTTCACTATACCTTAATTACGCGCGAAAACATACGAAAATAATATATCACTCAATAATATATCACTCAAATAAAAAATTAACTGAATCTTAAGAAAGATATGTGGTACTGTGACATCCTGTAATCTCTCCATAGATCGTCTGAAACAAAAAAATATAATACTATTAAATAAAGAATTATATATAAATTTATATATCGCGCGCGCTCACACACACACACACACACACACACACACACACACACACACACACACACGAGCGTAAACTTACACAAAATAATTCTTTTCATCATAACAAACAAATATTGTGTATACACCTATATATGTACATACACACTCAAATACAAGAATTAGGAGACACGGTAGTGTCTCGGGTGTCAAGTCAATCGAGATCACTACCGTGTGACTTTACGCGAGTCGACGAGATGCGAGCATCCGAAATTATCGGATCTTAATAACGACTGAACCGATTAAGTAAGCTTGATCGATAGCTTGAGTTCAACTTGAATAATAAAAGTATTTTTATTTTTCTGCTACATGCCCTACGAGCGGAGATATTGCTAGGCAAAGTCCAATTTGAAAATTTTTACTTTAAGAACCGTCATTGTCATTATCGTCGTCGCCTTTGTACGGTTGCAATTTTTGTCGCGAGATGTCATTATTAATCTTATCGATTCAACGGATCATCAGACTGATAATGGTCACTATAGGATCAGGGTCACTATAGCAATCTAGCAAAATAATATTCATTAGGTCCTGCAATGACCCTGACTTATCGGCCTGATTTATCCGCAGGGTCGATAACTGATAATGTAATAAATATGCGTGCATCGAAACGGACACATTAGTAATATATCTAATAAACACACTAATTCTTTTTATTTGTTCCATCTTTCTTCTCTATTTCTCTAATTTAGAAAAAAAATGCATAAATTATATTACATCTTCATCATTATATTATTTGTTCGTATCGATTTTATATCTATATAAACATATATTTTGTAGCATGTTATGCTCCGAATTATAAATTATGCTAAGTAATTGGTTGAGTATTTTTCTCGTACAATTACTTACAATCATAATTTATGCACTTTTAAATATTTCTAGATTACTACCAATAAGTTCCTTTCGACGCGTATATTTATTATTATTAATTTCATCGATTTCAGGATCATCAGACTGATAATCAGAATCACTGTAGGATCTAGCGAATCATTGATGGGAAGAGTACAATATGTTTCGTGTAAAATTGATTAATGTATCTCTAACTATAGTGTCCGCTCGTTATGTCATGATTCTGATTGACTTATTATTAATAAATATGCATAACAAAAGTAAGAAGGTAGAAAACGAAAGAGTGAGCGAGATAGTATGCCTGTTGCTCTTTCTCCGCGCGTCTGATTGGCGATCAACGATATCGTTGAGTTTCGTGGCGAGTTTGACAGTTAGTGATAATTTGTTTTAAAGTGTAAGTGACTGATGTTTGTGCACCATAATCTGTTATTTTGCAGGTAAGTTCTAAGAAACAATATAAATACTATCTTATGATATTGTTATGATATTCTTTTACGCATTTGTGCTTCTTTCCAGAAATCAAAGCTAGAAGTGTTCAGATATTATGATCTGTACAGATTTATGTGCAACTCTTGACCATATTATGATATATTTATTTAATATATCAAAAGAATATATTTAATAATTGTTATTTTTATGATTTGTTTAAAACATATATCAAAAAATATATTTAATAATTATTAATAAAACTGAATTATATTTTCAATGAAATTGTTAATAAAAATATAAAAAAAGATTAGATTTAAGATTACATATTATATTAAGATTACATATATTATACATTTTCAGGATATTCTGAAAAAAATTGTAAAGTAACATCTTGAAATACTTCAACAAATTTTAAATAAATTTAGGAAAAATATTAAAAATTGAAAAGCACAAACATAGACGAAAAGAACACCTTTGGTAGCAAATCTAAAAATTTGACCAGATACAGATCTGACAATAATTTTGTTGGCTTATCAAAATTAATTTGGAGAACACTTAAATATGATAATACTTCAAAAATGTTTGATCTTTGAACAACCAATTTGAATATCGTATATAATATCGTATATAATAATTTTGAAGACCCAATAAAATCGTTTTCAGATCTATATCTAGCAAATTTTTTAAATTTGCCAGTAAAAGTGTTCTTTCCGTGTGTACATACGTAAAAGTACAATACAAAAAATACATGCATTCAAAATGACAGTACTCATATTGCTTCTTATTGTTAGAACTTACCTACAAGATAACAGATTACGGCGCATAAATATCACTTACACTCCGAAACGAACTATCAGCAATTGTCAAACTCGCCGCGAAACATAATGACATCGTCGACTGCCAATCGAACGCGTAGAAAAAGAGCCAGTATACTATCTCGCTCGTTCTCTATCCTATTTACTCTCGTTGTGAGTATAGAAATAATATAGAAATAGAATCTAAGTACATATCTTTCCACTTAAGAGTTTTTTTATTTAAACCCAAGTGTTATGTCACAATCTTATTAAATTCAAATAGTATCTAGTACTCAATCTTAATATGTATATCATTTATATAAAAGATTTGAAATTAAAAAGTTAAACATTATTTTTTTCTTTGTCATATTTTCTATTTGCAATGTCATTAATATAAATTATATATAAATTACACAAATACAAATATGCGCGCGCACGCACGCAAGCACGCACGCACACATATTAGAGAATCTCTAGAGATAATTACATGCTAACATTTTGTTATAAATAGCGTTTTAAATACGAGCCATATATTTACTGTGCCTATATGTAGCGTGGTCGTTTCCCGACCGCCCTTTGAAATGTTAAATACATTAAATTTTCATTATTACTAATTTTAGATTCATTAATTGTTATAAGTTATATTAAGTATATATAGTATTTAATAAAATAATTAAAGTAATTTTAAACTTTCTAAGGTTCTTAAATTTATATAACATATTCAATTTCTTTTATTCTGTCTTTTATTTGAATTTTCTTTAAAATTGTCTTTTTATTACTTATTGTATTAATTAATTATGTAAATAAGATTTTTATATTATTTAAATAAAATGTTATTTATTTATTATAAATGTTTAAAATTTTTTATCTAATTATAAATATTTTTATTATTTTAATTTACACTTTTTAAACTTATCCTTTTTATTTTATGATTTTCTTCATTTTTATATTACTTTTATTTTATTTTACACTTTTTAAACCTGTCTTTTTTTATTTTGTGCTTTTTTATTTTATTGTTTCTAATTTCTTCCTACATAGAACATAACCTCCAGTGGACGTCCATTGAACCTCCACGGTTCCATTAAACTTCCATCGAACATCTATCTCCACGATGGAAGTTAGATTGAGGTTAGATGGAAGTTCATTAGAGGTCCAGGGAACTTCCACGGTGGACGGTGCTCTAGGATTCCATCGTGGATGTCCATTAGCCGTCCAGCGAACTTTCACGGAGGATGGTGCTCTAGGATTCCATCGTGGACGTCCATTAGCCATCCAGCGAACTTCCGCGGTGGTCTCACCGGTCGTGGGGATTCGAGAGAATACATGTATATATGTATATTGTAATATACATATGTATATTGTAATATACATATGTATATACATAATATGCATATGTATATATCATTGTATTGTTGACGTGTTATTCTAAACACGTTATTTGTTTACGATAAATATCATCACATGTCTCGGTAGTCGAAGGGATAAGATGCCTGCCCGATAAGCAAGAGATCTAAGTTCGATTCCTGACTGAGGTAATATTTTTTTGCAAAATAATTACGAGTTTTCACGACTGGTTCGTGATCGGGCCCCACCGTGACGCACACCTTCCCTTCCTATCTTCCACCGTGGACGTTCATTATAAATGAGTAAATAGAATATATACGTAAATTTATAAACACTACTCACATGGAAACATGATATTAAAAATCCATATAACATATAATCTTCATATATAACATATAACATATAATTTTCCTTTATGTATATAATTAAATTATCTACAAAAATTACTCACGCTATCAGGACATTGACATTGAGACTATTTGAATCTTATGACAATGTGATAACATTTACTGATCGAAGATCTGTCATATTTTTACATCAAAATTCTAAGTTTAATTATACTATTGTTCTAATATCTGATTTCAGCCGATCACGTAGGTGAAGCTCGACTGTATATACTACAAGGATGGGTGATTCTCGGAAAAATTATGTGACGTTACTGTTACGTCCGAGGTTCGAGAGGAGAAGTTGGTCAGAAGGGGGGAACTCGGGTGGACGCACATAACTGTTGTTGCTCTCCCGGATTGATGTCGCGAGGTCGATCCGCGAATCGAACGCACCCTAAGAGCACAAGAGCAACGTCGATGACGCTATAACCCTTACCTGCGTTAGCGTGGTCGGTGATCCGTTTTAGGACAAAGAACCGAATCTCTTTAATCAGGGATGGACTTCATGCAATCTTCAGGGAGCCGAATAGTTCGGGGTCAAGATTTTTCTTTAAGTAAATAAATAAAAAACGCAATTCAAATTAATTACGATTTAATAATAAAAAAGGAAATACAACATCTTAACTCATTCGTACGAAGTAGCACAAATGTTAGAGTGTACCTTTGAATATGGATAATTATTGTTTACAAACTTTCATACACAAACTTTATATAATTGAACATCCGCTCTCTACATTTAAATATGGAAAATTATTGTTTACAAAAAGTTCATACACAAAACTTTGTGTGTGTATAATTGAAAATCCGGTATAACCTCTTATTTACAA